CCTCAACAGTAGCAGCTGACATTATGCAGTGTATCTGTGAATGCCAACTGGTGTTTATTCTGTAGTAACAGAGAAGGAGCAGGTTTGAGGGTCTGGAATAAATTAAGTCCAGTTTCTAATGTGTTCTATTTATTATTTTTTTTAAATTTTATTTATTTATGTTTTACATCAAAACCCACGCACATATGGTCACCTTATCTTTGATGAAGGAGGCAAGAATATATAATGGAGAAAAGACAGCCTCTTCAATAAGTGGTGCTGGGAAAACTGGACAGCTACATGTAAAAGAATGAAATTAGAACACTTCCTAACACCATACACAAAAATAAACTCAAAATGGATTAAAGACCTAAATGTAAGGCCAGATACTATAAAACTATTAGAGGAAAACATAGGCAGAACACTCTATGACATACATCCCAGCAAGATCCTTTTTGACCCACCTCCTAGAGAAATGGAAGTAAAAACGAAAATAAACAAATGGGACCTAATGAAACTTCAAAGCTTTTGCACAGTAAAGGAAACCATAAACAAGACGAAAAGACAACCCTCAGAATGGGAGAAAATATTTGCAAATGAAGCAAGTGACAAAGGATTAATCTCCAAAATTTACAAGCAGCTCATGCAGCTCGATATCAAAAAAGACCCAAACAACCCACTCCAAAAATGGGTGGAAGACCTAAGTAGACATTTCTCCAAAGAAGATATACAGATTGCCAGCAAACACATGAAAGGATGCTCAACATCACTAATCATTAGAGAAATGCAAATCCAAACCACAGTGAGGTGTCACCTCACATGGGTCACAATGTGTTCCATTTAAGCGGTCAGTTTGAATTTTAGGTCTAGAGCAATGCTTTCCAGTAGAAGTGTAATGTGAGCCACATGTGTAATGTTACATTTTCTAGTAGCCCCAATTTAAGAAAAGATAAACAGGTAAAATTAATTTTAGTAATATATTTAATTTAACCCAGTACACCCAAGATATTATTTCAACATGAATCAATATAATAAAATACTAATACTTTACATTATCTTTTTTTGGTACTAAATGTTCAAAATGTGGTGTGTGTTTTTACACTTACAATACACCTCAATTTGGACTGGCCACATTTCAAGTTCTCAGCAGGTGGTTAGTGGT